GAAACCATTTTCAAACAACTCCTCGTAGTCGATAACCTTTACAGGAATTCAGGAGGCCATGTTGGTTCCTGTTCTCGGTTATAATTTTGTTTTTTGCGAACCGTGCACATACTTTTGAAACAGAGGAGAAATTTTTCTTTAATCAAAAATTGTGTTAGCAGCTACGATGTTTTCTAAGAGAAAGTGTTCGGAGGTTATCGCACACAAGGAATTGAATAGTGAAGGTCACAGGTTACAGAAAGCAGTGGTATTCCCAAAAACACAAAATGTTGGGCGTGTACATACTTTTGAAACACACTGTATAAGCCAATCGACAGGAGACAGTATGAATACACATATTGCGCAGGTAAATCGACCAACCTCTTTAAAACTCTTCCAAATTGCGATTTGGCGTAAACTACAGTTTCATCATCAGTGATTCCTCGTTCAACACTGACTTTAAGGTCATTCGCATCAACGATTAGCTGATCACTTCTCTTGGCCAAGAAAATTGTGGTTCCATAAGATGACACAATGGTTCCTTTCACAGCACTTTCGCTCATAGTTACGTTTTCATCATGAATGTTCGGGCTCTTCGGTAGCATGTCAAGCAACACCACTTTGACGGTTATCTGTTGGCTCTTGTCGCTGACTGTCCATTGAATGAATGATGGAACATCGTCGGATACGTGAATACAGCTGTCGGTGGTGATGATTTCTACAGGAGCTGAGACAGAGGATATGAGAACTTCTTTCGGAGTGTCAATGTCCGTGATGATAGGGCAAAATGTAGCCTCAGTGTTCGTTACCTAAACATTCAATTGGGGTAGTCAAGCGATTGAGCTAGTTTTGAACATTTTACTTATATTTTTTCTCCATTGAGCAGGACACTTGCAAGCTGAAACGACTTACCGCATAAATCAGCTCAGCATCTTCGATTGCCGGTGGATTATCATCAACGTCCAGAAGGTCAATAACAATTTGTGCACTGGCTAAAACACAAAGAATGAAATTCACCGTGATACATCCACAAAACACCAGCTGGGCACATATCCACGACAGCTCATCTACGATGGAGTCATTCAGCCGAGTGTCGGGTCATCAGATTAAGACACTCTTCTTCGAACTCTGGGACCGCTTTGAGCGCATCCGCTCGACATATTTTATTTGGGCAGACCTATTTGATTATAGGCCACTCCACCTTAGTGGAGATCCCTCCCGCTATGGGTAGTTCACCAACCTTCATCTAGCTGCCCCTAACCATTTTCTCCGCATTCTAGAACGTTTTCAAGTAGAATTATGAATTTTTAATTTCGGCCCCGCTCATCCCTATGCAAATACGTGCAAACGCATCAGGAATTTGATATTATTTCTTCGCCTACTCCAACTAATTTTTGCCGCATTTCAGACTTTTTCTGAGTGAAAATAGTTTTTAATCCTAGCCCCGCCCCCCCACCCCCTTTGTGCAAACCTCGCCCACTTTAGTAATTTGGCCACATTTCTGCTACTGACTCTAACCACTTCTTTCCCCGCCTTCTACAACGGCCCTGAGCTAAAATATAATATAACCTTTTGATATTAGCCCTGCCCACCTTGTTGCGAACCCCGCCTAGTTCGGAATTTGAATATACTTCTATTACCTCTGATCACTTTTTCTTCGCTTTCTGGAACGTTTCTGAACAGAATTATACTTTCGAAGAAGTAGTTTCAATTTAACTGAACAACCCGCCCATCGTGGGGGTGCCAGCACGCATACTTTTTATGGTCTTCACGCCTTCGCTGGATCGAGTTGTGAATTTTTCAAGACCAGGCATTTTCGTACTTCCATATTTGGAGAAGGAAGGGTCGTCTTTATTAGGAAGATAAAGAGGCTTATCCTGTAGCGATTCGGTAGACTCAAGAACTTTATAAATTTGATACTCTCGATACTCCAATGGACTCACACCGTGGCACTTGTGTAAAAATTGGGATGCAGAAAGTTAGGGACGAGTCGCAAGGTGAAGAGTTCGTGCGGTCGTAATCATTCTCTAACCCGGTCAGGACAGAACTAGAGTAGATGGCGTCAAAAGCTACGTAAGGAATTTGTAGGAACTGAGACAAATTAATTGGAAATGACTTGACAACTCGAAGTTCCCCGTCCTGAGCTGAGCGAAATAAGGGTGTATGTATGTGCTTAAACTCAGGTTCTCTTAAAAAGATTAGCATGCCTAAGATCCCCTTCATTCGGTCGTTATTCCTATTCCCTAATTCATTAACATGCAGTATTAAAGGTAGACCTCCTTGCCTTGTTAAGCATTCAGGCCCCAAAAACTTAACAGTTGAGCCATAGTGGGATCCCCGTTCCCGGAACACCCGAACTTCCCGCCCCTCGACCAATGTCACATCAGAGGAGCGTCGAGGCAATACAGATTGCTGTCATTCATTCTAAGACCCACACACATTCAGCTGATCCCCGAGTGATGAGGCGATGTTTTTCTTCCATTCTTTCATTCTCTGTTATTCTTTTTGCTGTCGCGATCTCTAATTAAATTTTCTACCCCCAAAAGGCTGAAGAAGGTGGGCTATTTTGCTGCTACTATCTTTTTTGTTAAGTTATGTTTGTGAGGCAATGGATTTTAAGGCACATTTTTGCTTACTATAGTCAGCTATTCGCACCAGGACCCACACATGCGTAATGACATATTGTATAGCTCGTCCAAACACACTTCATTTTTCTGGTCTTCTTTTCGTCAAACACCTTTTAATCACTTTTTCTAGGCCTTTAATCACAATCACTCTGAAAACGAAGAACTGCGTACTTTCATCGCCTTCATCGCACCATTTTCCACTCTATCTTCCACTTTTCGTCATAATCTGGATTACCCAAAATTATCGTGATCTGTGTCTTTGGGCACTTCGCCTGTCGGAATACGGTCCACTGAAGAGCTTGTTCTTTACATACCCCTTTGCGGTATCTGTCCACGATCCGTAGCAATCACATTGAAGATGTACCGCCTCTGTGCCTCATAGTCCAGTGGCCCAGAAATCACAAGAGTTCCATTTGGAAATATTTTGAACGGCAATTCATCAGCTTCTATGCGGTAAAGTAGCTTCCCCGCAAGACCTGGATCACAATCCTCTGCATAGACAACGCCCACCATGTCACCATGTTCGACATCCTCCGAGACAGCAAAATGGAAGCTAAAAATGCTTTCACGGTTCCACCGTAAACAAAAATGTTCTTCAAAATACTCACATTTTCTTTTCAAAAATTGGTGGATTGGGATTGCCCTGGCTAAGTTCTATTCGCATATGGTATACCGTCACCGCTCCATTCACAGTCACAGATACAAATTCCACTTGGTCATCTTTGTGAACGACTCCACTAACGAAAAGGTTCCCGTCTGAGTCTATCGTCAAAATAGACTCATCTGAGAGAAACCTTCGGAGAATCTGAAAATTAGGATTCAAGTACAGATCACGTATAGTAGCTGAAAGTACTGCACGTGGTCTGTACTTAAAAGCGATTACAGAATGGAGGTGGAAGGGCATGGTTCCTTACAATAATTTGCAATTCTTCCGACGTTTTTTTTCGTACCACAACCCTTATAACTCGAAAAAAGCCTTCGTTCCTTTCATTCTAGTTCTGACTTTCTGATTTTATTTCACGGCATTACCCCGCTTAAATTGTTTAACAGATATAAAATGAATATCACGAATCTCTGATACCATTTCTGGGGTCTGCATCTCATTTCACAGCTTCTACCTCGACCTGTTCAATGAATTCCCCAACTTTTCAATACAACTAGTAACCACTTTATGGCTAAGCTATTTTTTGAAGCGTAGTTCTTGCTAATACCTTTCTCTTTGTAATGTGATTGCAGTACTCCTCAATGTTTCCCAGCTTCGTTCCGATAGGTGTATCCCTGTCGACGGCTAACTCGCAAGTTTCGTAACTCCCAACAGCAAACACCACGGTTACAGCTACCGACGACAGCATTGCAGGCACGCCATCATCATGAGCCATTACTGTTATCTGAAACAATTAAATCACAATATCAAGGCTTCATATTCCAGAGCATAATAATATTAGATTGATCGAAAAGAGTTGCTCGGGTTGAGATGTTTTTCTGTTTTATTTTACAACTCATAACATTGTCCCTGACGGGCAGGTCAGCGATTTCTTCTCCCACACCAGGAAGATTGGGAGTCAAAGAAGTCACCGACCACTTGTTCAATGTGGTCGTAGTTGACGAATTGTTTTTTTTTTTGCTAGGAATGCCTTAAGGGACCGCAACAAGAAGTAATCTAAGGGAGCAATATCAGGTTAATAGGGTGTGTGTAGAACCGTGCCCCAGTCTAGGTCCTTAAATTCTGCACGGGTCTCTTTACCTATGGGAGGCCTAGCATTGTCTGACCAGTGTAACAGGAAGCGATGACGGTATGGCCTTTTTTAAGCATTTTTCTGAATCCCAGAAGCAGCAAAGGAGAAACTTCTTGGGGTGGAGGCCGAATGCGTCGGCGGCTGTTCTCCTCGCGGAAGCTAGACGGCGCAGTACTTGTTAGCGTCGTAGAGGATCCAGCTTTCATCTCCAGTAACTAGGTCCTCCAGAAACTCCAAGAAGGAAAGACTGACAAATGATACCCAAGTGTACCGCATTCTATCGGCCAAGAGCACCCATCGAGTCAGCATCCTACTATATATAACGCGCTAAGTGTGTCTGTTGGTTTGTCTGTCGACTCCGCCCCCAGGGGGCGGGGTTTGTGCGAAATAACTATTAGAGCAGAAAGTCATAACATCTGTCCCCAAGGACCTAGAGAGTTCAAATTTAGTAAGTGTACAGAAGGCAGGATTGGAACACTTACGGTGGGTGGCAGGGCCGGGCTCCGCCTACAGGGGGCGGAGTTCGTGCGGAAAATAACAACTCCTGTTTCCCTAGATCTAGAGCGCTCAAAATTGGAAGGAGAACAGGCGGTAGGATGGGTACACTTATGGTGGGTGGCAGGGCCGGACTCCGTCCACAATGGGCGGGTTTGGGGCGAAAACTCATAACTTCTGTCCCCGTGAACCTGGAATGCTCTAACTTAGTAGGAGCACAGGCACCAGCATGTGATTATTCATTGAGGGTGGCAGGACCGGACTCCGCCCACAGTGGCACAGTGGGTGGGCTTGAGCAAAAACCCATAGTTCCTATTCCCATGGGCCTAGAGCACTCAAATTTGGTAAGAGCACTGGCTGCAGGATGGGAACCTTTGCGGTGGGTGGCAGGGCCGGACTCCGCCCTCAAGGGGCGAAGCGTGCAGAAAAATGTCAAAATGGAACTCGAGGACTAAACTTGGCTGGGATAGAGGAGGAAGCATAGGTACACTGATGATAGGTTGCAGGACTAAACTCCGCCCGAAAGGGCGGAGCGTGAATAAATACTGTTAGTTCAGACCCAGACCGTTGGAACTTAAAGGCACAAGGAGTTGGCTGGGAACAGTGATTGTAGCTAACACAGTAGGCTCAGCCGCGATGAAGTACGTGTGTAGGAAGTTTGGGCTGCTGAACATAGAGCGTTCACTTTGTTAAACACAGATCATTCGAAGATGAAGCAGAAGTTTCATCCCGTAAGGAACGAAGTTTAGATCAAAATGTTAATATCAGAAAAATTGAAGGGTCCAGGAAGAATCGCTCAGAAGCTACCTAATACTGAGTACTCGATCATTCACGTTAGGATGGCTGGGGATAGCAAGGGACGCAGGTATAGCGAAAGCGTGCGTAAGAATTCAACGAAAAAGCTTGAAGATCCGGAAAGAAGTGGAACATGAAGGGGATACATGCGAATTTTCGAATGTGAGGAGGACATGGCATCAACTCCCAGGATCAAAAATTTCATGACAAAGAACCATACCTTCATGATCAAGACCAACAGAGTGAGTGGTTTAGTTATCAAATCCGCGAGCAACGTTAGATTTATCATGCCAAATGCACCGCTCTGATTATGCTGTTCTTCTCTGATTCAGTGCTCTGTATGCAGTTTACCGTGCATGCTTGATTTTGTATTTCTCCCTTTCATAATCCTACTATATATAACGCGCTAAGTGTGTCTGTTGGTTTGTCTGTGTGTGTGTTTGTGTGTGTGTGTGTGTGTTTGACCGGAAATTCATAACTCCGGACCCCGTCGACCTAGAGAGTTCAAATTTCGTAGGTGTAAGGGGGGCAGGATGGGAACACTAATGGTGGGCGGTGGTGCCGGACTCCGCCCACAGGGGGCGGGGTTTGTGCGAAATAAACGTTTGAGCGCAAATTCATAACTCC